GCGGGGGGACTCTGAGCAGGACGCGGCCCTGAGTGACGAGCGCACCATTTGAAAAAGAGCACCGATCTTTCTGTACACATTTAAAAACAGAAACCGTGTTAAAATTCATGTCAAGTTGTAAAAACTTCAAAAGAACGAGCCAAAAAAACCCTAGGACGCCTGACCTTGGGAAGCAGACAGGCTGGGGCTGCACAGGAAGGGCCTACGTTTTAATCATGTCTCCAAATCATCCTTCTCTGAGGCAATGCTCGCCACCACCACCACCTCATCGTGAGATAGTTTGCCATCTGAAGGGGAAGGTCAAGGACAAACTTCATCTCTTTTACCTCGAGGCCTCTGTTTCTCTGCGTCGTAGATCATGACCACTTCTGTGACCTGCAAGAGAGACGGTGTTCGAGAATCCGGGTGCCACGGGCGGCCACGAGCACATCTGGCTACCACAGAACTCCCGAGGCAACGGCAGCTCGGGGCTGCGTGCGGACACTCCCCGGGGAAGTCCAGAGGCCCCGAGGCCGGCCTTAAGGGCTTTGACGCCCGAGACTCACGGGACCCGAGACAGGAAGCACAGGCCACCTCTGCCCCAAGTGCTCACGCGGAGCCACCGGGACACCAGGGACCCGGCCCCGCACTCCAGCTGGAGGGCAGGGGGTGAGGACCACAGCGCGCCTTTCCCTTCGCAGACAAGCCCAAAGGCTCAGGCGCCAGGATGGAAGGGCCCACGTCCCGGTCAGCTCAGCTCAGCCCTCCCTGACAGACGTCCACCAGGACGGCATCTCTTCTCTCCCTGAGCGCACAACGCCACACGCCCTGGCGCCCTTCGTTCGGGGCCCGGGCCCTTGGCACACTCAGGTGCCCCCCCGACAAACAGGCAGTAGGGAGGGCAAGGGGACGGCCCACCAACAGGGTGTGCGGCCCGTCGGGGTCCGGGGTGACCCCACGCCTTTGCTTCGGGTGACTGGGACGCCCCTCCTCCTCCCCCCAGGAGCCTGCATGCTGTCCGTCTCCTCTTCTGCCTGCCCTACTAGAACCGAGCACAAGTGATGCTAACCCCCCAGGAAGACTCTAATGGATTTCAGCCTCTTCCAGGAATAGAACCAGCCTGGGGAGAAGGTCTGCTGTCACTGAGGAAAAACCGAGCAGGTGACAGGTTCAAGAATCTCTCAACGACACCCGGCCAGGGTATGAGTGCCCGGCGGCCCACAGGACGCGCGAGCCGCCGGAGCAGGGCAGCACAGGGCCCGAGCCGGCACCCTCCCAGATGGCAGGGTCTGCACAGCTGCTCTGAGGACCTGGGCTAGAACATTCCTCCCGTGATGAGACACAGAAGTCTGGCTCCCACCGCCAGACCAACCCCTGCTTCTCCCCAACACTATCCTAGCACCCTACACTGTGGCACCTCCAGCTGACCGGAAGGGCCTTTCGGGAGGTCGGCCTGGCGAGCGACTGTGCGCCTGGAAAAGCCGCACATCCCCTCTCCTGGGCTCGGGCCCGCTCTGGGGAAGACACAGGCCCCGAGGAGACAGCTGCCAGGCTTAACCTCTGTGGACACTCGGCTCCACCACTCCCGCCCCGCCCTGCCGTGCTCCGGCCCAGAACAACTCACCACTCCGAATTTCTTGAAGTATTCCCTGAGCTCTGTCTCACCGCAATTGTGAGGGATCCCACCGACAAATATCTTATTTGATTTACTGTTATCGCTCCTGGGTCCTTTCTGCTGTTTCAAGAGGGAAAAAATGGTTAGTCCGTGCAGGGAACCCTCACAACCCTCTCTACAGTGCGTACGTGAGCTACACTCAGCATTGGTTTTAGGAACCAGCGAAAAGCCAGACCCAAACAGTCCAAAACCCCACTAAATCCAAAGAGAATCACAATTGGCAAGCCATTGTAACTTTTCCCATTTTCCCGGGGAGTCCCAAGGTGACAGGGACCCGGCAGCACGGGCACCACTGCATTTCCAATGCGTGTGCACGGAGCGTGTGGTGGGTCCCGTGCGTAATTATCCCGAACGACAACGGCTGTAAAGTGTAAGGCTCCACGATCTGAAAAGCAAGGCCTCAGGAGGGCAAGGTGGCCGCGATGATGAAAACAGCTTTCCAGGTTTTTAGTGGGTGACCGGAGAGGACCATGGGAAGTTGCAGTAACTGAGAAGCCACTTGCCTCAACTGACCCCAGCGATCCCTCCCTCTCTGCAGACGGCCTCACGCCTGGGAGGGAAGCGCTGGACTCCAGGTGGAGGACCAGACCTCAGCCCCTACTCCTAGGGGGCTGCCTCCCCACCGCATTCCTCACATGACCCTTATCCTTCCTGGCCACGGGGCTCCCAGACTACGTCGTCCTAGCCGCTCTGGACAACACGACTGAACTCTGGGGGTGGGCGAGGTCTCACAGGTCCACGCAGGGGTCAAATGCCATCAAAATGCGGTTACCCTACATGACCGTTCCGTCTTAGTAAAGAACACGAGTAACCAAATGGAATGTGAACGTGGCGGCCTCGGTTCCAGTCTGAAGAGAAGAGGTATGACAGCCACCTGTGGAAGAAGCCCAGAGCCACGAGTGCACTGTCTGGACACAGGTGGCCCTGGGCACCACGGCCGCCGCTTCAGCTGTGGGGGTGGGTATTCTGTGGGAGGACGTGCTTACAGGAGCTGCACGCTCCAGAACTTAGGAGCGGGAGATACAGAGATGAGACAGAAACACAGGCAACTTCAGGAAAATATTAACAATCGATGAAGCGAACAGATATACCTGACGTACTACTCTTCCGATCTTTCTGGAAAGTTCCCTGATAGGAAATTGGGAAAATAAAAA